AAAAATGTGTGGCATAAGGCCACCCTTTGTTAATTCATTGTTTAACGTCCTTTTTTTCGCGAAAAGGTACGCGGGAGGGCGGAAAAAAAACAAAAGCCCATTCCAAAAACTGGAAACCCCAATCAAACATTTTGACCAGTAAAGCATGTGATATATACAAATATTTCTGGGTCTAACGGCACTTGCAAGCATAGAACAACACTCTTTGATGGTACATTGGAGCACATGCCTGATGAATCCAACAAAACAGGTACATAGCATGGAGTTAGCATGTCATGAATTCATTCATCTGGATTTTTACTAGGACACACACCGTACGATATTTAAAAGCCAACAAAAAAAGAAAAAGAACACAAGACAAAGGCATGCCCGGGAGGCAAGATTATAAGTCTAAGGTCATGATCGGCACACTGTGAAACTACACAATCATGTATTTAGAACTTCGCATATTATTGGTACTACTACTTTCTTGTTTTTTTTTCCGGTTGGAGGCAAAAAGGTACGCGGGCGCGGACGTTAAACAACGAAAAAAGAAAGGGTGGCCTAATGAGGCGCTAATGATTTCCATTTTCCAAGCCATATCATGTCAGTGTGGGATTTGTCCTAGCGCCTCTGGCGTTGGCAGTGGCAGCACTGTATATAGTGCATGCAGTGTTACATCAGTAGACTACGCAGTTTTTTTTTAGTATCCCCAGGAATGCCTCGTTCTGCTCTTTTCTCTCCGAAACTTTGAAATTCTCCGTGAAGTCCAAATTTGAAAGCTCAGGAATGATGCTCACTATAGCGCTGTATGGTGCAGAAACAACGGTTTGTTGTTGCTGTGTTGCATGTTCTGGAACAGGTTCTCTTCAACGCCACGAGTCGAAGTTGTCGCCTTTGGCATTTGCTTTTTACCTACTAGTATGTACCAGCCTACAAGTACTTGCAAGCAGTAGTAGCGAAGGCTATGTAGACCGAGTCAGCGGTCAGCGGTTGGTGTTCGCTATTCAGGACTTGGCTGCGGAAAAAGATTTGGTTGGAAGGAGCTACTGGTAGCTAAAATTTACATGCAAGCGAAGCGTCAGCATGTCGTGAACAAAGGTACGATAGTCGCTAGACCGGCTATGTAAAGTTAGTAGTTATGTTACCTGTACTACAAGTATAGCAGCGAAGTCAAGACGCTTGCAACGAGCTTGAAACGGCAACGTCGTTACACGTAGCAGGTCAACACAGTATGTCTTTGGAAGACGGAGTTCAACTTCGGTCAAGAAGTCCAGCAGCCACCAAGCGAACTGGCATGGCTAGCAGTGGCCTCTGACATAACGTCGAAAGTAACATTAGTTCGGTCTTCGGACCTGTCCATCGTGTCACATCATTAAGTGGCTATCCGTACACCAGGTACACCCACCGACCTGCAGTGCAGACTGGATATGAGTGCGTTTGCATACCATGCCTTCGTTATTATTATTATTTTTTTGTAAACTGTCACCAATATCGAGACGGACACAAAGCTGGCGAGCGACAGAATATGGACAAGTGCAAGACGCACTATTCTCACGCTATCTATTAGCCGACTGCGGCGTGCAGACCCTCGTCCGGAATCATTCCTGTTCGTTCAGGAGTCACTCAGTGGCACGGCAGAGAAAGCCACGAGCGATGCGGATGGCGTAGCAAGTAAGTAGGTCGGTGTTAGTGAAATGAAAAAATTAATATTATATTTTTACATCAGTGCACTCTGGCATCTATGTGCTTGTACATTGTTGTCTGGGTACACGATGTAGCTGACTTTGCCGCTGCTATGGTGTTGAATACGATCCGATATCCGCAATAAGAGTATGTCTCTTGACTCACTAGCAGCCCAGTACATGTACTAGTTGGGAGATAGTGGTGAGAAATATGTACTAGTGTATGGTGGACATGGAAATCCAGTGTGAGGTCAAGCGGCCCCTGTCACGGTGCTGGCTGGCCATGCAGCCATGAGTACGCATACGATCAACATGATTGTGCACTGTGTATGCAACGTTCTGTATGCACTAAGGAGTATGGACGCTGGCCCAGCGGTCATTCAACTGGATTTCCATGTCCACAACAGACTAATTATTATTATGTTCATTGGTTTAGGGGAAAGATGCAAACGGGTAGTTGCCATGGTTACATGTAGCTGCAAGGGTACATACTCCCCAAGAATGTTTAACTCCAGCTATGGGGTCTGCGACTCCGCGGCGGCAGAACTTCATATCACGTGACAAACTTGCACACATTGTTTGCACACCGTGCATGATAGATACAGGTTTGTACGCAACCCTGCTCTGGGTTCAACTCTCTTATGGTCATTTGTGCACTGTTTGCCAGTGTAGCCTTTTGAACCATGTCACGTGATGTGAAGTTTTGCCGTCGCAGCACTGTATAGAAGTTGTGCAGGCAGTTGTACACTCTTGGGGTTATGTACTCTTGCATGTAGTTATGGTACTTTGGTAATATAGTGTGCTTGCAAGTACTTACATACATGCACACAAACAGGTTGAGCCTGATTTCTCTGTGCTGCGCTGATGAGTCCACAAAGGACGAAACAGTTCTGTACGTAGTTTGAGTACATGCACTCGGCAATACCGGCTGATGCAAGCCCGAATGGTACAGCCGCGAGGGTGCATTGAAGCCAGTATTGCCCGGGTGTGTACTCCCAGGCGGCTATGCAGCCATGCGCATGAACAAGGTTGCTGTCACGAGTCGGGGCATGTCCCATACAATACGGTACAGATATGTAAACCTTGCTTCAAGTATTAGATTGACTTTTGCAGAAGAAGTGCTGTTTTCTCTGTTCTAAGTTGTTCTCTTGCATGCATGCAATGTGGAAATTTAATTCCCGTAGCTATGCAGAAGACGTTACTTCAGTAACGTCTGGCGCTAGCCAGGGTCCACACAGCTTTAATTTGGTGTTTGTGTGTTTGTGTCACGCCTGGCGCTATCCCGTATCTGTCCCGTACCATACCGTACCATCAAAGACAGCTGGCCACAATATTCAAATGGGGCTTTCAAGTGCAAGATCATAACGTGAAGCAACTTGGAAGAATGAGTATGAATGCGAAGTGAATCGGGGAATGCATGTAGGACGATAGTGCGGGTTTGAATCCCAGGTTTTGCCTTGAAAAAGAAATAGGAGACTCAAAAAAATTATAACATCCCTATGCTTTTTTTTGCCTAGGTCATCAAGGTGGTAAACGGTGTCGTATTACCCTCGACCGAACCTGTCTCGTACCTGTCCCGTACCTGTCCCGTACCTATCCCGTACCGTACAATCAATAACGGCTGGCCACAATGCATATTCAAATAGGGCTTTCAAATACAAGATCATAACGTGAAGCAACTTGGAAAAATTAGTATGTATGCGAAGTGTATCGGGGGATGCATGCAGGTCGATAGTGCGGGTTCGAATCCCAGGTTATGTCTAAAAACAAAAAGTAGAAACTTATAAGAATTTATAACATCCCTATGCTTTTTTTGTCTAGGTCATCAAGGCAAAAAAGCATAGCGTAGGGCTCTGAGCTTCCAAGCTCTCTCGTTGCTATGGGGGATACTTATGCATTTTGTTGTACTTATGGCCACAGTAGGAAAAGGCAATTTCCGTACCGTCGAAGCCCCATAAGTACAATAAAATGCATAAGTATCCCCCATAAGAATATCATTTCCACAGGCCATGAATGCTAGAGAACAACTTAGAACAGAGAAAACAGAACTTCTTCTTTAAAAGTTAACACCCCAGAGAAGTGTGTTTATGAACCCTACGTTAGTAACAATCGACCGCATTTACAACTGACAAAAAAAAACACGAAAATCGACAAATGAGTTTGTGTGTGGGGGGGGGGGGAGGGGGATATCATCACAGTGATTGACTGCTGCATGTATGACATGGACATCCACAAACAGCTCAAGGACATGGTTCAACCGGGTGCAAGCAGATGCCGTGTGATCTCCACAGATCATGGCCAGAGTAAGCCGTTGGAGGAAACGGACCAGCTGGTATGGAAGAGGGGATTTATCCAACACTTTCTGGATGAGATAGATAAGGAATGACTTGATGTCAATGTGGATAGCTAGAAGATCCCGTTAGCTGACCTTCTTGCCTCTTGTCAGCATGTATCTCACAAGCAACTAATGTGTGTGTGTGTATGTATGCATGGTGTGTGCGTGTGTGTGTATGCGTATGTGCATTTGTGTGTGTGTGTATGTCTGTGCGTGTGTGTGTATGTGTGTGTGTGTATGTGTGTGTGTGTGTATGTATGTGTGTGTGTATGTGTATGTATGTGTGTGGTATACACTATATGTACCCGTGCCGTGGGTATGTCTTTCCAGATCTGCTGAAGGAGGCAGTATGAAACCCCGTCCAGCCTTCAAGTTAAGCCAAAGCTAGTGGCTGATTCTCGGCCTACACACCTACGACAGCAAATAACTTGAAGAAGAGGTAGTGGAACCACCGTCGTCTTTTGAAAAGGTACTCGTACCCAAACATTGATTGTGGTTGCGCTACTGCTATCCTGCTGCTGCCGTGTTGTGATTCATGTACAAGTACGATCATAGCCAGCAATCGCATGTCATCACGTACATTAAAAATCAACATCATTTTGCGAATCGACCATTTTTTCAGCATCACTTTTCAACGAGGACGAAGCAAAGTCGGCCGAACGAAGCCCAGAGGAAGAAAATCACCCTCTCCACTTCACCATCACGATACTGACATAGATACGAGACGAAACAAGTAAAAAATCCACAAGAAAACTGTACGGCCATCTTCACGCTGACTTTGGTCTGAGAATTTCTATCACGATTAAAAATGTACGAGGAGCACTCAAAATAAGCTACAGACGTACCTTTATCACTCTCTACTCCTTTTTCAAGGCACAAAAGTCGACTCTCCACTTTCAAACCAGGAACTAGACATACCAGTGGTCCTTTTCAGCTGCTCCACGAGCGCAGGAAATGTTCACCAAGGGGCGCGGAGCAGCATCCATTCCAGAAAAAGAGCTAAAATACGAGTGAGACTGCATGCCTGAGTACATGAGTACATGCATGAGTACATGCAGAAAATAGTCGATTTCAGCGTTTCTGCTCCAAACAGCAACTTGCTTCGACTACCTACAAAGATTACACGAAAGGATCAAACAACAACCGTTTTCTTCATTTTTTTGACAGGTGGCTTCCTTGTGCTTGGCCCAGCACGCCAAAAATCACACGTAGGAGGAGTACAACAATTACAACTCTCAGATGTCCTCGATTGGTGGCCATGCAGCTGAGGGGTTTGCAGGATGGCATGCTGTACAACACAACACATGTGTACTGTGGGTTGGTGTGTATAGAGCCAAGCTACTCCATTCATCAAGCCAACCTTTCTCGGTTTCATTGCTAGAACGAGAGAGCTTGGAAGCTCAGGGCCCTACGCTATGCTTTTTTTGCCTTGATGACCTAGGCAAAAAAAGCAGGGATGTTGTAAAATTTTCATTTCTATTTTTTCAAGACATAACCTGGGATTCGAACCCGCACTATCCATGTATCGTCCTGCATGCATCCCCCGATACACTTCGCATACATACTAATTCTTCCAAGTTGATTCACATTATGATCTTGCATTTGAAAGCCCTATTTGAGTATTGTGGCCAGCTGTTTGTGGCCAGCCGTCTTTGATGGCACGATACGGTACGGGACAGGTACGGTTGAGGGTAATACGACACCGTCTACCACCTTGATGACCTAGGCAAAAAAAGCATATGAAGGGCTTCATTGCAAAACGAGATAAATCCGTTTTGACCAATTTTCAGGAACAGCGATTTTCTGTGATCAACAACTGGGTGGGTTTGGGTAAAATCTAACTTGGCAGATGAGAAGAGTAGGGTGATGTATGCAAATACAGGCTTTCTCGAAAATCAGGAGCCATCCATTTTCTGAAGCAAGGCGATTCTTCAATATGTTTGGGCCAAACCAGATATATTCGCCGGACTAATCAATATTATGAGATTAGAAAATACAAGTGCAACGACTTCACTGAGTTCGGAACTCTGAAGGAGCTCAGCAGCAGCGTCGTCCATCCCTGACGCCTCTAGCATACTGCCCTTTGCAGTTTCGAAAGCGAAAAACAACAGCTACGAAGAAAATGATACGAAAAGAACGAAATGATAAAGTAGATGTAGCTGCTACAAAGCAACAACACGAAAACACTGTACTTTGAACTCTGACATCGACATTTTGCACAGACTCAGTCTATTCGCGATGTTTGCACGTGCTGCGCCAGCACTCGCTGGCTTGTCACAGGTCACACTGGCCCGCGCGACAGGATATGTCGCACTTTGCTCAAAAACATCGGTGGTGTTTATCGCGTTTTGCAGTAGAACGTAAACTTCAACGTTGATTTTCAGTGGGATATGTCTCGTTTTGGAGAATTCTTTTTGGCCATCAGATGCAGTGATCGTACTGATTCGATTGACACCAAAAACGCCATATGCATGAGATTGGCGTTTAGCGCGTTTTGCAATGAAGCCATTCATATGGATGTTATAATTTTTTTCAATTCTCCTTTTTTTCAATGCATAACCTGGGATTCGAACCCGCACTATCGTCCTACATGCATTCCCCAATACACTTCGCATTCATACTCATTCTTCCAAGTTGCTTCACGTTATGATCTTGCATTTGAAAGCCCTATTTGAATATTGTGGCCAGCTGTTTGTGGCCAGCTGTCTTTGATGGTACGGTACGGTACGGGACAGATACGGTATAGCGCAAGGCGTGACACAAACAAACAAACAAATAAATAAATACCAAATTAAAGCTGTGTGGACCCTGGCTAGCGCCAGACGTTACTGAAGTAACGTCTTCTGCATAGCTGCGGGAATAATTTCCACTTTTATCACGCACCATGTCCTTAGTATGGTATCTTCTCCCACTGTCATCACTGGCATACAAAAATATAGTCAGTTTGTTGATATACATGTCACGTATTCACGCATTCTGTCTCTCTGTCTGTCTCTCTCTCTCTATCTCTCTCTCTCTCTCTCTCTCTCTCTCTCTCTCTCTCTCTCTCTCTCTCTCTCTCTCTCTCTCTCTGTGCATCTTTCTGTCTCTCTATCCATGTGTCTGTTGTGGTAACAGGACCCAATACCAGGATCAATGGTACGTACTCTACTTTGCCGAGCACCCGGTCCGACAGGAAGACGCTTGCCAACTTGGCGTGGCACTGCTGCCAAGTCAGACTATCGCTTTGTCATGTAATGTATCAGAGAGGCTGGAACACTGAAACCGTCAAGTTGGAGGAGCTTTGAGAACTGCAATAGAGTATACCGAAATTATCAGTAAGTTGGTGAAATCAAGGACTAGCTGTGCACTCCACTGGTCTGGCATGGTGCTGTTGCTGCTACAGTGTAGTAGTGGCGTACTGCACTGCGGTGGTTAGGCTAACAGGGTGATCCTGCTAGTTGTGTACTGCACTGCGCTGGTTAGGCTAACGTGGAGATCCTGCTCAAGACCGGTGCGCTCTTGCTAGCCTCCATGTTGCTGTTGTTCCCGGTCTGGGAATCAGCTAACAGTTATCAGCTATGCGTGGTGATCATGCGTATCAGCACGGAGTTGTGTGACAAAAGCAGTGGCATTGTCAGCAGTGTGGTACTTGTCCACTGGTTTATTTGAGTGCAGACGGTGTGTGTGGTACTTACATGTGCCGGATCATGGACTATCAGTAACACATCCAGCACCTTGGACAATCAGTTTGTTGTTGGTCAGTTGGTTTGTCATTGTCTATACCGCCAGTCATTATGAAGACTGCTTGCTTTGTTTGCCGTCACTGTGCAATTCACTGTGCACCTTACAGTTCTGCATCTTCTACTTACATTAGATACATGTAGGTGCTTGTGTGTCATATCTACTAGATGTTCTGATTTTGTCAAGTGATTCTTGCCCCCCCCCCCCCACCCCCCTCCACCCCCTTTTGCTTTCAGAATATTATTAATTTTTACAAACAAAAACTGCTGCCCCGTAGGTAGTATGTGCTGCAACAGTACGTCTATTATATTACGATTTAGAAAGTCTTGAATTATCGTTTCATAGCCCCATTCCTGAAGATCGTTGAATGACATTGTGGAATTACTCCCCTTTTTTAATCAATTTCCTTCTCAGAGTGACTCTGATTACTGCATTTTGGTGAATGGTGTGCATATCAATATTATGCTGTTTGCATAGTGCACGGTTATTCCATCACACCCTACATGATAGATGTATGGACTGGCAATAGCCATAGCAGCGTGCACTAATGTGCCTGCTGCTGCACCCTAGCATCCTGCACACTGTGGTACCACTCAAGACCGTGAATGTCATTCTGCTATTAATTCCAGTGGTACGCAGCTGCACTCAGTCTTTCACTTACTTCTCATTGTTATGTAGACCGCCCTTTCCCTAGTTATGCTTTGATCTCCTTTCAAGTCAATCATTATATTTATAATAATTATGTATGGCTACTTTTTTTACACCATTGATGCAGATCATGATTTTTAATTCAGTGACATTTCGGTCTCTTGAATACTCATATGCCGTGCGTCCAGGAGCGCTGGTTACCTTGGTAACAATCACTTACTGTGCTGTACTTGTGTGGTAACGTGTGCTAGCAGTCTATGCTGTGTATTCTGAAGGTGACTTGTCGCGGGCGAGAGAGAGAGAGAGAGAGAGAGAGAGAGAGAGAGAGAGAGAGAGAGAGAGAGCAGAGAGAGAGAGAGAGAGAGAGAGAGAGAGAGAGAGAGAGAGAGAGAGAGAGAGAGAGAGAGAGAGAGAGAGAGAGAGAGAGAGAGAGAGAGAGAGAGAGAGGTGGGGGCGTAACTACAGGTTGTATCATTGATTTATGTGTATGTTCTTGATCTATGTGTATTTTCTTGATCTATGTGTTGAAGATTGGGCCAGTAACATGTTATAAGGCCACACGTTTTTATTTCTATGATTCTCCTCACCCGCGCGCATATGCATTGTAATTATGATTCAGGTCGAGTCCGGAAAAAAAAAGAAAAGAGAAACCTGTGCTGCACTGTGGTTACCAGTCATTCACATGATTGTGCAACCTGGCCTGCTGTGCTAGCTCGACACATGATGCGAGGTCGCTAGCGCTGTATGTATGACTGTACGGTGTTTTTTTTGTTGCACACTCTACAAATAATTGTAGCTGCTCGTGCACAGAAAGTCCTACCACGAGTACTAACGTAACAGCTAGCTACATGAAGTAATTAGTTGCTATACTAACTTTGGATGCTATTTTACACGGTGTATTGGTCGATTTTAGAGCATGATTAGGTCTACAGTAAACTTATTATTATTAGACGCGACATTCCAACAGTCGGCAATCGGCTATCAAGAGTCATCTGTCCGTTAGTGGTAGTTGTCGTGAGTTGTACAGAGATGATGTGTTTCTCAGTTTTGGCCCGTGGCAGATCTGTATTACATTTGTCTGTTTTGGAAGCGTTATATATCCGTAAGTTGTCCCCTGAACTATGTGTTCAGAAGGAAAATGTTTTGTCGCTGCAGTTGTTTGGCGCTAATCCTCGTGAAAGTGTCAGGAGTGCTTCTCGTCACTGATGTTTTCATTATGTTTTAGTCGTTTCTTCACCTTCACCCTGTGTTTCACCTGTTCTGCTGAATTTAATTTTTCCCACACGTATATCGTGAGGTTCTCGATCTTTGATTTTTGCTGTACCGGTAGCTATATAAATTGCTGTATTTTGACATTTTTCCATTATTCCCTGTACTTACCCACGATGAGAAGGGAGCGAAAACGTTCGGTTACCAAAATTAATAATTAATTGGCTTACTTGAGTGTGTGGATTGTGTCGGTGCTGTCACCTTTTCTTATTATTATTAGTCAAATTTTTTTTATTTTTTGGTCATTTGTTTCCACCTCTAGATCTCGCATACGATTAATTTTTAGATTATCGATCGGGTGACGAGAAACATATAAATAAAAACGCTTGGCCTAATGAGGCGCTAATGATTTCCATTTTCCAAGCCATATCATGTCAGTGTGGGATTTGTCCTAGCCTCTGGCGTTGGCAGTGGCAGCACTGTACATGGTGCATGCAGTGTTAGATCAGTAGACTACGCAGTTTTTTTTTTTTAGTATCCTCAGGAATGCCACGTTCTGCTCTTTTCTCTCCGAAACTTTGAAATTCTCCGTGAAGTCCAAATTTGAAACCTCAGGAATGATGCTCATTATAGCGCTGTATGGTGCAGAAACAACGGTTTGTTGTTGCTGTGTTGCATGTTCTGGAACAGGTTCTCTTCAACGTCACGAGTCGAAGTTGTCGCCTTTGGCATTTGCTTTTTACCTACTAGTATGTACCATGCTACAAGTACTTGCAAGCAGTAGTAGCGAAGGCTATGTAGACCGAGTCAGCGGTCAGCGGTTGGTGTTCGCTATTCAGGACTTGGCTGCGGAAAAATATTTGTTTGGAAGGAGCTACTGGTAGCTAAAATTTACATGCAAGCGAAGCGTCAGCATGTCGTGAACAAAGGTACGCTAGTCGCTAGACCGGCTATGTAAAGTTAGTACATGTAGTTATGTTACCTGTACTACAAGTATAGCAACGAAGTCAAGACGCTTGCAACGAGCTTGAAAGTTGAAACGGCAACGTCGTTACACGTAGCAGGTCAACACAGTATGTCTTTGGAAGATGGAGTTCAACTACTTGGGTCAAGAAGTCCAGCAGCCACCAAGCGAACTGGCATGGCTAGCAGTGGCCTCTGCAGCTGACATAACGTCGAAAGTTCGGTCTTCGGACCTGTCCATCGTGTCACATCGTTTGTGACTTCTGTGGCTATCCGTACACCGACCGACCTGCAGTGCAGACTGGATATGAGTGCGTTTGCATACCATGCCTTCGTTATTATTATCATTTTTTTGCAAACTGTCACCAACATCGAAACGGACACAAAGCTGGCGAGCGACAGAATATGGACAAGTGCAAGACGTACTATTCTCACGCTATCTATTAGCCGACTGCGGCGTGCAGACCCTCATCCGGAGTCATTGCTGTTCGTTCAGGAGTCACTCAGTGGCACGGCAGAGAAAGCCACGAGCGATGCGGATGGCGTAGCAAGTAAGTAGGTCGGTGTTAGTGAAATGAAAAAATATTATATTTTTACATCAGTGCACTCTGGCATCTATGTGCTTGTACATTGTTGTCTGGGTACACGATGTAGCTGACTTTACCGCTGCTATCGTGTTGAATACGATCCGATATCCGCAATAAGTATGTCTCTTGACCCAAGCAGCCCAGTACATGTACTAGTTGGGAGATAGTGGTGAGAAATGTACTAGTGTATGGTGGACATGGAAATCCAGTGTGAGGTCAAGCGGCCCCTGTCATGTCACAGTGCTGGCTGGCCATGCAGCCATGAGTACGCATACGATCAACATGATTGTGCACTGTGTATGCAACGTTCTGTATGCACTAAGGAGTATGGACGCTGGCCCAGCGGTTATTCAACTGGATTTCCATGTCCACAACAGACTACTTATTATTATGTTCATTGGTTGAGGGGAAAGATGCAAACGGGTAGTTGCCATGGTTACATGTAGCTGCAAGGGTACATACTCCCCAAGAATGTTTAACTCCAGCTATGGGGTCTGTGACTCCGCGGCGGCAGAACTTCATATCACGTGACTAACTTGCACACATTATTTGCACCCCGTGAATGATAGATACAGGTTTGTATGCAACCCTGCTCTGGGTTCAACTGTCTTATGGGCGTTTGTGCACTGTTTGCCTGTGTAGCCTTTTAAACCATGTCACGTGATGTGAAGTTTTGCCGTCGCAGCACTGTATAGAAGTTGTGCAGGCAGTTGTACACTCTTGGGGGTTATGTACTCTTGCATGTAGTTATGGTACTTTGGTAATATAGTGTGCTGGCAAGTACTTACATCCATGCACACAAACAGGTTGAGCCTGATTTCTCTGTGCTGCGCTGATGAGTCCACAAAGGACGGAACAGTTCTGTACGTAGTTTGAGTACATGAACACGGCAATACCGGCTGATGCAAGCCCGAATGGTACAGCCGCGAGGGTGCATTGAAGCCAGTATTGCCCGGGTGTGTACTCCCAGGCGGCTATGCAGCCATGCGCATGAACAAGGTTGCTGTCACTGTCCTGCACTTCCAGCTACAGCCACGCAGAGTCTAAAGTAGACGCTCTGGAAGCGGTGGTGTATGGTCGGGGATGGCTCCCAAGCTGGTACTTTCAGTTCATGTCGCTCTGATCTGCAAGTGGTTCTGCATCCAGTAGCTATGGCACCTAACATTCCGCTTTGAGCACAAGCACTGTCTCAGTGAGCAGTGTCCACTGTACAGCAAAACACAGCCCACACGTACGCACTCATGGTTGACTGTTCCCATGACAACGGGGACCATTGTGACATGCAATACAAAGTATTTACAGTCGTACCTCTCTAATCCGGCACCTTTTGCTACGGCGTTTTCTGCTGGATTAACGAGGGTGCTGGATTAAGAAATCCTGCCCTCTGACCCGGCCCTACCCAATTGCATGCATGTACTATTGAGTTAGGGTTCGGAAAATTCCTAACAACCATCCGAACTGAACTCTCCCGCGCGAGGTAGAGTACAGTTGTCAACTGAACTGAACTCTGAAGTGGCCCCACGCGCGCGCAGCACTGACCAGACTGGCCTCGCAAGGAGTGCACCTGTACGGTACGCAATTTACGACTGCCGGATTATGAAATCAAACTACGTGCAGTTTGAGCGATTCGTTTAAAAAAGTCACTGCCGGAGGCGGAATTCAAGTGCTGGATTAACATGTAGGAATTGAACGAAAAAAATCGGTTTCGTCAGAAAGTGCGCCGGTTGGCAAGGGTTCCGGATAAACAAGTGCTGGATTAGAGAGGGACGACTGTAAAGTCAATTGTTCCCTGTATGGAATCCGAGCTGTGTGCAGTCACGAGTCGGGGCATGTTTCGTACAATACGATACAGATATTCTGTAAACCTTGCTGGTTAGATAAACTTTTACAGAAGAAGTGCTGTTTTCTCTGTTCTAAGTTGTTCTCTAGCATGCATGGACTGTGGAAATGATGTTCTTATGGGGGATGCTTATGCATTTTTTTGTACTTATGGCCACTTGAAAGTACGAAAAACGCAATTTTAGTGCACCCTCTACTCTCCTTTGGCTACCACCCTACCTTGGAAGCAGACCAGCCAAAGTCCTTGCACTGGTGAAGGATATCATCACAGTAATTGACAGCTGCATGTATGACATGGACATCCACAAACAGCTTCAGGACATGGTTCAACCGGGTGCAAGCAGATGCCGTGTGGTCTCCACAGATCATGGCCAGAGTAAGCCATTGGAGGAAACGGACCAGCTGGTATGGAAGAGGGGATTTATCCAACACTTTCTGGATGGGATAGATAAGAAATGACTTTTTGTTTGTCTTTCCAGATCTGCTGAATGAGGCAGTAAGAAACCCCATCCAGCAATTAAGCCAAAGCCAGTGGTGGCTGGTTCTCGTCCTGCACACCTACGACAGCAAATATCCAAACTTGGAGAAGAGGTAGTGGAACCACCGTCGTCTTTTGAAAAGGTACTCATACCCAGACACTGATTGTGATTGTGCTACTGCTATGCTGCTGCTGCCGTGTTGTGATTCATGTATGATCAGCTGAGGGGTTTGCAGGATGGCATGCTGTACAACACAACACATGTGTACTGTGGGTTGCAGTGTCTGCTCTAGGATTGTAGGACAGCCGGGTACACGTGTACCTGGCGCAACCATTTCAACCGGGTCGGAGCCGGGTACACATGTACGTGGCGTGGCGCTGTCGCACCAGCTGAGTCACATGCTTTAACTGGATGGTTGGTTTGATTTTAATTCGGACAATAAACGGGAACTAGGCCCAATGGTATAAAGGCGAATGGATAAGCCGCACTTAGAAAAGAGAGGACAGGAATTAGAAAATTATGGAAGAAGAAGAAGTATCTGACACATACAAGCCATGTAGTCAGTCCTTTCAAAGTTCGAAAGTGTAAAGTACCAACCTGGTCACAGGTGACCCGGTACTATATTTTCAACCGGGTCCAAGCGCCGCCCAACCGGTTGGGTTACCCGGCTCACCCGGCGCTGGAGCAGACACTGGGTTTGTGTATGTAGAGCCAAGCTACTCCATTCATCATGCAAACCTTTCTCAATTTCATTGCTAGAAAAAATTCCGCTTTTATCACACGCCATGTCCTTAGTATGGTATCTTCTCCCACTGTCATCACTGGCATACAAAAATATAGTAAGTTTGTTGATATACATGTCACGTATTCACGCATTCTGTCTCTCTGTCTCTCTCTCTCTCTCTCTCTCTCTCTCTCTCTCTCTCTCTCTCTCTCTCTCTCTCTCTCTCTCTCTCTCTCTCTCTCTCTCTCTCTCTCTCTCTCTCTCTGCCTCTCCCACTCTCTCTCTCTCACTCTCTCTCTCTATCTATCCATCTGTCTGTTATGGTAACAGGACCCAATACCAGGGTCAATGGTACATACTCTACTTCGTCTAGCACCCGGTTCGACAGGAAGACGCTTGCCAACTCGGCGTAGCACGGCTGCCAAGTCAGACTCTCTCTTTGTCATGTAATGTATCAGAGAGGTTGAAACACTGAAACTGTCAAGTTGGAGGAGCTTTGAGAACTGCAATAGAGTATACCGAAATTATCAGTAAGTTGGTGAAATCAAGGACTAGCTGTGCACTACACTGGTCTGGCATGGTGCTGTTGCTGCTACAGTGTAGTAGTGGTGTACTGCGCTGCACTGGTTAGGCTAACGACGTGATCCTGCTAGTTGTGTATTGCACTACGCTGGTTAGGCTAACGTGGAGATCCTGCTCAAGACCGGGGCGCTCTTGCTAGCCTCCATGTTGCTGTTGTTCCCGGTCTTGGAATCAGCTAACAGTTATCAGCTATGCGTGGTACTTGTGTATCATATCTACTAGATGTTCTGATTTTGGCAAGTGATTCTTTCCCCGCCCCCGCAGCCCCTTTTGCTTTCAGATTATTATTAATTCTTACAAAATAAAACTGTTGTGCCGTAGGTAGTATGTGCTGCAACAGTACGTCTATTATATTACGATTTGGAAAGTCTTGAATTATCGTTTCATAGCCCCATTCCTGAAGATCGTTGAATGACATTGTGGAATTACTCCCCTCTTTTAATCAATTTCCTTCTCAGAGTGACTCTGATTCCTGCATTTTGGTGAATGGTGTGCATATCAATATTGTGCTGTTTGCATAGTGCACAGTTATTCCATCACACCCTACATGATAGATGTATGGACTGGCAATAGCCGTAGCAGCGTGCACTAATGTGCCTGCTGCTGCACCCTAGCATCCTGCACACTGTGGTAGCACTCAAGACCGTGAATGTCATTCTGCTATTAATAAACCAGTATGTACACGCACGTGGAAATGACATCGTGCTGTTGATCCACCGTTGTCTTTGTCATATTCCAGTGGTATGCAGCTGCACTCAGTCTTTCACTTACTTCTCATTGTTATGTAGACCGCCCTTTCCCTAGTTATGCTTTTATCTCCTTTCAAGTCAATCATTATAATAATTCTGTATGGCTACTTTTTTACACCGTTGATGCAGATCATGATTTTGAATTCAGTGACATTTCAGTCTCTTTAATACTCGTATGCTGTGCGCCCAGGAGTGCTGGATACCTTGGCAACAATCACTTACTGTGCTGTACTTGTGTGGTAATGTGTGCTAGCAGTCTATGCTGTGTATTCTGAAGGTGACTTGTCGCGGGCGAGAGAGAGAGAGAGAGAGAGAGAGAGAGAGAGAGAGAGAGAGAGAGAGAGAGAGAGAGAGAGAGAGATAGAGAGAGAGAGAGAGAGAGAGAGAGAGAGAGAGAGAGAGAGAGAGAGAGAGAGAGAGAGAGAAAGAGAGAGAGAGAGAATGGGGGGGGGGCGTAACTACAGATGGTATCAACAATCATTGATCTATGTGTTGAGGATTGGGCCAGTAAAATGTTATAAGGCCACTCGTTTTTATTTTTATGATTCGCCTCACCCGCGCGCATATGAATATTAATTATTCAAGGAGGTCGAGTCCGGAAGAAAAAAAAAAAGAAAACTGTTGCTATACTCACTTTGGATGCAATTTCACACGGTGTATTGGTCGATTTTAGAGAATTAATTTTAGCATGATTAGGTCTACAGTAAACTTATTATTATTAGACGCGACATTCCAACAGTCAACAATCGGCTATCAAGAGTCATCTGTCCGTTAGTGATAGTTGTCGTGAGTTGTACAGAGATGATGTGTTTCTCAGTTTTGGTCCGTGGCAGATCTGTATTACATTTTGTCTGTTTTGGAAGCGTTATATATCCGTAAGTTGTCCCCTGAACTATGTGTTCAGAAGGAAAATGTTTTGTCGCTGCAGTTGTTTGGCGCTAATCCTCGTGAAAGTGTCAGGAGTGCTTCTCGTCACTGATGTTTTCATTATGTTTTAGTCGTTTCTTCACCTTCACCCTGTGTTTCACCTGTTCTGCTGAATTTAATTTTTTTTCCACACGTATATCGTGAGGTTCTCGATCTTTGATTTTTGCTGTACCGGTAGCTATATAAATTGCTGTATTTTGACATTTTTCCATTATTCCCTGTACTTACCCACGATGAGAAGGGAGCGAAAACGTTCGGTTACCAAAATTAATAATTAATTGGCTTACTTGAGTGTGTGGATTGTGTCGGTGCTGTCACCTTTTCTTATTATTATTAGTCAACTTTTTTTATTTTTTGGTCATTTGTTTTCACCTCTAGATCTCACATACGATTAATTTTTAGATTATCGATCGGGTGACGAGAAACATAGAAATAAAAACGTGTGGCCTAATGAGGCGCTAATGATTTCCATTTTCCAAGCCATATCATGTCAGTGTGGGATTTGTCCTAGCCTCTGGCGTTGGCAGTGGCAGCACTAGCACTGTACATAGTGCATGCAGTGTTACATCAGTAGACTACGCAGTTTTTTTTTAGTATCCTCAGGAATGCCACGTTCTGCTCTTTTCTCTCCGAAACTTACTTTGAAATTCTCCGTGAAGTCCAAATTTGAAACCTCAGGAATGATGCTCACTGTGTGGTGCAGAAACAACGGTTTGTTGTTGCTGTGTTGCATGTTCTGGAACAGGTTCTCTTCAACGTCACGAGTCTATCAAAAGTTGTCGCCTTTGGCATTTGCTTTTTACCTACTAGTATGTACCAGCCTACAAGTACTTGCAAGCAGTAGTAGCGATGGCTATGTAGACCGAGTCAGCGGTCAGCGGTTGGTGTTCGCTATTCAGGACTTGGCTGCGGAAAAAGATTTGGTTGGAAGGAGCTACTGGTAGCTAAAAATGACATGCAAGCGAAGCGTCAGCATGTCGTGAACAAAGGTACGATAGTCGCTAGACCGGCTATGTAAAGTTAGCAGTTATGTCCTGTACTACAACTAAGTATAGCAACGAAGTCAAGACGCTTGCAACGAGCTTGAAACGGCAACGTCGTTACACGTAGCAGGTCAACACAGTATGTCTTTGGAAGACGGAGTTCAACTTGGGTCAAGAAGTCCAGCAGCCACCAAGCGAACTGGCATGGCTAGCAGTGGCCTCTGACATAACGTCGAAAGTTCGGTCTTCGGACCTGTCCATCGTGTCACATCATTTGTGACTTCTGTGGCTATCCGTACACCGACCGACCTGCAGTGCAGACTGGATATGAGTGCGTTTGCATACCATGCCTTCGTTATTATTATCATTTTTTTGTAAACTGTCACCAATATCGACACGGACACAAAGCTGGCGAGCGACAGAATATGGACAAGTGCAAGACGTACTATTCTCACGCTATCTATTAGCCGACTGCGGCGTGCAGACCCTCATCCGGAGTCATTGCTGTTCGTTTAGGAGTCACTCAGTGGCACGGCAGAGAAAGCCACGAGCGATGCGGATGGCGTAGCAAGTAAGTAGGTCGGTGTTAGTGAAATGAAAAATATTATAATTTTTACATCAGTGCACTCTGGCATCTATGTGCTTGTACATTGTTGTCTGGGTACACGATGTAGCTGACTTTGCCGCTGCTATGGTGTTGAATACGATCCGATATCCGCAATAAGAGTATGTCTCTTGACTCACTAGCAGCTCAGTACATGTACTAGTTGGGAGATAGTGGTGAGAAATGTACTAGTGTATCGTGGACATGGAAATCCAGTGTGAGGTCAAGCGGCCCCTGTCACGGTGCTGGCTGGCCATGCAGCCATGAGTACGCATACGATCAACATGATTGTGCACTGTGTATGCAACGTTCTGTATGCACTAAGGTCAAAGGAGTATGGACGCTGGCCCAGCGGTTATTCAACTGGATTTCCATGTCCACAACAGACTACTTATTATTATGTTCATTGGTTGAGGGGAAAGATGCAAACGGGTAGCTGCCATGATTACATGTAGCTGCAAGGGTACATACTCCCCAAGAATGTTTAACTCCAGCTATGGGGTATGCGACTCCGCGGCGGCAGAACTTCATATCACGTGACGTACTTGCACACATTATTTGAACCCAGTGCATGATAGATACAGGTTTGTATGCAACCCTGCTCTGGGTTCAACTCTCTTAAGGGCGTTTGTGCACTGTTTGCCAGTGTAGCCTTTTGAACCATGTCACGTGATGTGAAGTTTTGCCGTCGCAGTACTGTATAGAAGTTATGCAGGCAGTTGTACACTCTTGGGGTTATGTACTCTTGCATGTAGTTATGGTACTTTGGTAATATAGTGTGCTTGCAAATACTTACATACATGCACGCACATAGGTTGAGCCTGATTTATCTGTGCTGCGCTGATGAGTCCACAAAGGACGGAACAGTTCTGTACGTAGTTTGGGTACATGAACACGGCAATACCGGCTGATGCAAGCCCAAATGGTACAGCCGCGAGGGTGCATTGAAGCCAGTATTGCCCGTGCGTGTACTCCCAGGCGGCTATGCAGCCATGCGCATGAACAAGGTTGCTGTCACCGTCCTGCACTTCCAGCTACAGCCACGCAGAGTCTAAAGTAGACGCTCTGGAAGCGGTGGTGTATGGTCGGGGATGGCTCCCAAGCTGGTAATTTCAGTTCATGTCGCTCTGATCTGCAAGTGGTTCTGCATCCAGTAGCTATGGCACGTAACATTCTGCTTTGAGCACAAGCACTGTCTCAGTGAGCAGTGTCCACTGTACAGCAAAACACAGCCCACACGTACGCTCTCATGGTTGACTGTTCCCATGACAACGGGGACCATTGTGACATGCAATACAAAGTATTTCTAGTGGATTGTTCCCTGTCTGGAATCCGAGCTGTGTGCAGTCACGAGTCGGGGCATGTTTCGTACAATACGGTACAGATATTCTGTAAACCTTGCTGGTTAGATAAACTTTTACAGAAGAAGTGCTGTTTTTTCTGTTCTAAGTTGTTCTCTAGCATGCATGGACTGTGGAAATGATGTTCTTATGGGGGATGCTTATGCATTTTCTTGTACTTATGGCCACTTGAAAGTACGAAAAACGCAATTTTTGTGCACCCTCTACTCTCCTTTGGTTACCACCTTGGAAGCAGACCAGCCAAAGTCCTTGCACTGGTGAAGGATATCATCACAGTAATTGACTGCTGCATGTATGACATGGACATCCACAAACAGCTTCAGGACATGGTTCAACCGGGTGCAAGCAGATGCCGTGTGGTCTCCACAGATCATGGCCAGAGTAAGCCATTAGAGGAAACGGACCAGCTGGTATGGAAGAGGGGATTTATCCAACACTTTCTGGATGAGATGGATAAGGAATGACTTTTTGTTTGTCTTTCCAGATCTGCTGAAGGAGGCAGTAAGAAACCCCGTCCAGCCGTTAAGCCAAAGCCAGTGGCTGGTTCTCGTCCTGCACACCTACGACAGCAAATATCCAAACCTGAAGAAGAGGTAGTGGAACCACCGTCGTCTTTTGAAAAGGTACTCATACCCAGACATTGATTGTGATTGTGCTACTGCTATGCTGCTGCTGCCGTGTTGTGATTCATGTATGATCAGCTGAGGGGTTTGCAGGATGGCATGCTGTACAACACAACACATGTGTACTGTATGTTGCAGTGTCTGCTCTAGGATTGTAGGACAGCCGGGTACACGTGTACCTGGCGCAACCATTTCAACCGGGTCGGAGCCGGGTACACATGTACGTGGCGTGGCGCTGTCGCACCAGCTGAGTCACATGCTTTAACTGGATGGTTGGTTTGATTTTAATTCGGACAATAAACGGGAACTAGGCCCAATGGTATAAAGGCGAATGGATAAGCCGCATTTAGAAAAGAGAGGACAGGAATTAGAAAATTATGGAAGAAGAAGAAGTATCTGACACATACAAGCCATGTAGTCAGTCCTTTCAAAGTTCGAAAGTGTAAAGTACCAACCTGGTCACAGGTGACCCGGTACTATATTTTCAACCGGGTCCAAGCGCCGCCCAACCGGTTGGGTTACCCGGCTCACCCGGCGCTGGAGCAGACACTGGGTTTGTGTATGTAGAGCCAAGCTACTCCATTCATCATGCAAACCTTTCTCGGTTTCATTGCTAGAAAAAATTCCGCTTTTATCACACGCCATGTCCTTAGTATGGTATCTTCTCCCACTTTCATCACTGGCATACAAAAATATAGTAAGTTTGTTGATATACATGTCACGTATTCACGCATTCTGTCTCTCTGTCTGTCTGTCTGTCTGTCTCTCTCTCTCTCTCTCTCTCTCTCTCTCTCTCTCTCTCTCTCTCTCTCTCTCTCTCTCTCTCTCTCTCTCTCTCTCTCTCTCTCTCTCTCTCTCTCTCTCTCTCTCTCTCTCTCTCTCTCTCTCTCTCTCTCTCTCTCTCTCTGTCTCTCTCTCTCCGCCTCTCTCTCTCTCTCTCTCTCTCTCTCTCTCTCTCTCTCTCTCTCTCTCTCTCTCTCTCTCTCTCTCTCTCTCTCTCTCTCTCTCTCTCTCTCTCTCTCTCTCTGTCGAGAACGGTAGGGGAAGACAGACTCATCAGACTCATTCTCATACCACAGTTTCCTTTCTAAAAACTTCACCTTCAACCATAATCAAAACTTGCCAACCACAACCGTATGTGTGTGTGTGCGTGCGTGCATCATGCAAGCGCGGATCATGCGGAATGCAATGATGCAACTACAAGAAAACAAATCTCGGCAGCTAGCAACGAGTGCATTCAGAGAAGAAGAAAACAAGTTCAGATTTAAGTAGTTTGTGATGAGCAGCAGAGACAAACATGCAGGAGAGTATAATTATATGATGAGATGGAGGCGACATTGGGAATACTCGGATTCACAATGTACGCGTGCCATCAGCTGGGTAATCAGAGTCGTCGTTGGACATCGTTAAGTCCCAACTCAAATGTATTTGGAATATGATAATAAAATGTTATGGCAAGTTGGACTGTCTGTTGATTAATTACGATATGATCATGCAATGCGGGAGTCTATACTTGCAACTTCAAATTGATATGAAGTAGTCTTCATGATGTGGTGACATTCATGACATTCCCGACAACGAAAGTTATCTTACCCACTCTGCGATACGCTCACGGGCCTTCTCTGCTGCTTTGCGATTTGCCCGCCTAGGCTGGAACATGGTTGGAGCAGCTTCGTCCGCCATTGCCTGTTCCATAGCCGTCGCCGGTGCCGGGCGGTGTTCCATATCACCAGCCTCCACTGCTCCGACGCCATCCACAACGTGCAGCTCGAGCGGATAGAGCTTGCTGATCGGTCTCGACAACACTGCCTTCGATTTAGCCGTCTTCAGCTTGACAGCTCTGACTTGGCCATCGACTCCAGGTAAGATTTCTACCACTCTGCCGAGTCTCCAACTTCCACGTGGCTGGCCGGTCTCTTGGATTACGACCACTTCTCCGACTTTTGGTGTCCGAGAGATGCTACTCCGTGACTGTCGGTGTTGACTCATTGATGCTTCGCGCAGAGCAGGGAGGTATTCATCTTCCCACACCTTCCATGCTACATCCAGTTGTATCTGTTGCCGTTTCCACATCCTCGTGACCTTGGCTGCTGGTGTCTCCGGACCGTCCTCCTCGTCGCTGTCCGTCTGAAAACCGGTTGCCGTTCTTCCTCCACAGAGGAAATGTGACGGTGTCAGGGGTGAGAATGAGGACACATCGTCGTCGTCAACATATGTGAGCGGCCTCGTATTGATCATGCCTTCCACTTCGGCTGTCAGGGTTGCGAGCTGGTCTAGAGTCAGGAGGCACCTTCCAAGACTCTTCCTCAAGGCTCTCTTGACAATGCTCACCAGCCTCTCGTACACACCGCCCTTCCATGGCGCAAACTCTGTTGTGAAGCTCCATTCGATATTCTCCGTTGAGAGATACGATAGCAGGTCTGGGTTGGCAAGAATCAGCTTCAGATGATCGTCCAGGACAGAGCGTACCAACTTGAACTGGGGTGCGTTGTCACACACAATAGACTTTGGCTTGCCTCGTCTCGCTGCGAACCGTCTCATGCTGTTCAAGAAGGCTGCTGCAGATAGGCCAGAGACTATGTCCAGGTGTACAGCTCGTGTGGTTAGGCAGGTTACTAGGTTGATCCATACCTTGCCTTTCTCCGTGCCGGTGCGGATCAATAGCGGTCCGAGGTAGTCAAGACCAACGTACGTGAATGGAAGTGCTCTGGTAATCCGTTCCTTGGGCCATGGGGGCATGGACGGCAACTTGAACGGACGCCCTTCGTGTCTTCGGCAAACCGAGCACTGATCCAGGATACGGCGAACGATAGCACGGCCACGTATGATCCAGAACTCTTGCCTTGTCTGGGCCAGGGTGTGTCGAACACCTGCATGCAGAAGCCGTCCATGGACTTCGCTGATGACATGCTTCGTGAACGCATGATACGTTGGTAGCAGCTTCGGTAGTTTCTGGTCAGTTGGTAGTTCAGCGTTGCTCAGTCTTCCGGCGCATCGCAGTATGCTGTCGTCGTCGATCACAACACCAAGGTTAGCAACTGAACTGTGCTTGGCATTGGTCTTGATAGCTTTGAAGATGTCAGGGAAGGCCTCGCGTTGTACCATTCGAGTCCACCAATCTCGCGCAGCCTGTATGTCTTGTGACACGATGTCGTAGCTGTTGCTGATCTGAGAGAGACGTGGTGAGTTGGGACGCAGTTTCTTCAGGAACTTCATGCACAGAGCAGTGATTCTCAGGACCTTCCTCAAACTGCTTGCTCTCGTAAGCACGCTGCCGAGACCAGATGGAATGGTGTGTGGACTAGGTTGGTCAGTAGCACGATCGCTGCCACCAGTCACCAGGCTTGCGGTATGAAGCGTTGGTGCTTGCTCCTCCTTGCTGGCTAGGTCGGATTCGTCAGCTGAGAGTGTGAGGTCCTTGTAACGGAATCACAGCCATTCCGTTCCCCGGGACGCAGGACACAAAGGACAAGACTAGTTTGGTTTACATAATTATTATTGACATTACGGAAATGGAGACAACACTCAAAGGGACTAACAAGAAGACTGACAAAAGGACTCTCGACTACAACATCGCGCATGCTCATATCACACATGCACGCGACTAGACGAGACAGTTTGGGGAATGCCATCACACAGGAAAACAACACATCATTTTACAACACCTGCCCCCTTGATGACATTCCACAAAATAATAAACCGACACCACGTTCCACATGCACAACAGCAAAAGGAACCACAGCAAAACAGAAAAACCAAAACCAACCAACAGCTTACATTGTAGCACAACAAAACTGGGCCACGACACAGGGCCAAACCAAGACACAAGAGCCGACGCTCTAAACTCAGGCACACAAGGATAACCGAAACACGAGAGCCAAAGCTCCAACAAAATAATTATAACAATATGCGCGCAGCAGCGCAAAATAAATCTACAACGCAAATTAATGCAGAACAACAGAACGACGAGAAGAGCAACATACCGACAACCAAACTCAACAACACAGCAACGAACTGAACAGCGAGAGAAACATGATCAGACAATTAAGCGAGCAAGACAACAAGACGAACAACAAAGGACGACACACAGTCGGTGATGCCAGACTCATCCACTGGCCTCTGGCGAGCCACGGCCACACGCTCCATGCGGTACCTGCCGTCCCAGGCTCCAGTCCCCAGCTTCTGCCGGTCCACCACCTTCTCTGCCTCCTCTCCGCGTCTTCTTCCGCTTCCACCAGCTCCTCGTCTCTCCTCCATCCCCACGCTTACTCTCTAGTTGTACTATTACTTGTATTGTTGACGACGACGAACAGACTCATGACAAACTTACTCATCCTCTGCGTCCCGGGTTTCGGCACCACGTTGTAACGGAATCACAGCCATTCCGTTCCCCGGGACGCAGGACACAAAGGACAAGACTAGTTTGGTTTACATAATTATTATTGACATTACGGAAATGGAGACAACACTCAAAGGGACTAACAAGAAGACTGACAAAAGGACTCTCGACTACAACATCGCGCATGCTCATATCACACATGCACGCGACTAGACGAGACAGTTTGGGGAATGCCATCACACAGGAAAACAACACATCATTTTACAACACCCTCGTCTGGCCAGTGATCTGATGTGGTACGTAACCAGTCCGGACCGTGCCACCATGACTCCTGAAGATCGGCCACCAAACCGCCTCGGCTAGCGACATCAGCAGGGTTGCACTCTCCAGGAACATGGCGGAAGGACAAGAACTCGCCGCAAGTACGAATCTCTGACACACGGTTGGCCACGAATACGGACAGTGGCTTGGATGATTTGATCCAATGCAGAACACAACGCGCGTCCGTCCATAGGGTGATGCTGGTAAGTGGGAGATCGAGTTCATCTTTGCAGAATCGGGCTGCCCGTGAACCAATCGTCACGCCAAGTAGTTCCAGCCGTGGCAGGGTGAGACCGTTAGGCTTGCCGTCCTTGGACTTCAGCGGTGCAAGGCGTGTCTT